CCAGCAAGGATAACTTCACAATTCTTTGTAAGTGCTTGGAATTGAGATGGCTAGGTAGTCAACAAGGTAGTACTAGCCTTCATAAATTATTTCTGTTCTGGCAGAGGAAGAAGCAGGAGAACAAACAAAACAAACCAAAACATCCCCATGCTTATTGTCTCCTTATTTTTGTCCTAATACTGATTTTCCCAGCACTCGATTGCCACAAGGAAAATGTTGAATCAGAATTGGGAATAATGGGAATAGCTTTGAGGACTACTGTCCCAAATATCACAATTTCATAAGATTTATGATAATTTGGGGTACCTAATATATTTAGATTGCCCTAACCAAGGTTAAGGCAATCTAAGAGTGTTTTTACATGTGGTCCGGAGGTAGGGGGGCAGGGTTGCTTTAATTAATTAAAACGCCTGTAGCGTCTCATATATCTGTGTCCTTGCACTTCAAAATGGTGGTGGGGCAACTTAACTAAAGCTCATTGAGTAAGCTTTAGCTAAAGCACCCCCACTGCCATTTTTAAGCATGGGGATGCTGATTCACAAGATGCAGAGGCTGCTGGAGTGTGCTAATTAGCATGTTTCATAAGACTTGATTAATTGAGTCTGCTCCAACATGCTGTAATTACAGTGCATTGGGCCAGCCTCCCCGCATGCCTACGAGCAGCCTAAATGACTGGGTTTGAAAGCATTCACAGGGCTTACATTGCCCTTAAAATAGCAGACTCGATATAAAGTTAGCTCTGGTCAGAGGTGAACTACCTTTAGATTGGTATGGGGTAACTTGACCTAGAAAGGTTTAACCTGGCTTAGTGAACACCTGCATGTATTTACAGCACACCCCAGGGTTGGGAAAGTCCAGCCACACTCCATAGCTCCAGGGATGTGATGTTTTTACTAGAGGTGCGTTGAAAAAGATTTTTTGGGACGATACTGATGGCTGATTAGTAACGAGCCGTATTGGCTGATACCAATCGGATTGCAATCATACAAGCCCAGTAGCTTGGAGAGCAGCGTCTGGCTGGTAAGTCAGGGCGGGAGGGAGGAAGGGGTGTGGGGGGCACAGATTGAAGCCCCCATGGTGAAGGAGGGAGTGGGGCTGGGGCAGGGACATGTGCTGCCCAGCTGAGGGGTTGCGGGATGGAGCTGCGAGCAGCTTGTCGCATGGAGGGCATGTGCCCCCCAGATCTGTGCATGGGATGAAGGCAGGCTGCTGCTGTGGGCTGGGTCCAGGGACAGTGCCAGGCTCTTCCCAGCATGGGGTTTGGGCCAGGGTTGTGCTCAGGGCAGGTGGTGGCGGCTTTGGGAGGAGTGGCTTTGGGGGACTATGGGGAATTTTTTGGTGCCTTTAAAACCCCGTAGCGCCCTCTCCCATGTGCCCCCCAGATCTGTGCATGGGATGAAGGCAGGCTGCTGCTGTGGGCTGGGTCCAGGGACAGTGCCAGGCTCTTCCCAGCATGGGGTTTGGGCCAGGGTTGTGCTCAGGGCAGGTGGTGGCGGCTTTGGGAGGAGTGGCTTTGGGGGACTATGGGGAATTTTTTGGTGCCTTTAAAACCCCGTAGCGCCCTCTCCCAGTACTGCTGCCGCACGCCCTGAGTGGAGCCCTAGCCCAACCCCCACACTGGGACGAGCTCAGTGCCATCCCCAGCCCCAGCCTGCAGCAGCATCCCACCCTCACACCGTGCACAGATCTGGGGGGCGCTACCCATGCCTCCCCTGTGGGTGTGCACAGTGGTGGTAGCAACTGCCCCCTTCCTGCACTCCCTGGGAGAGCCGCTTGGGGCTCTGTCCCACACTCTGCCTCTCCCCAGCTGGGCAGTGCCTGCCTCAGCCCCACTCCTTCCCTCACCATGGGGGCCTTAATCTGCCCCCTCCATGCCTCTTCCCCCCAACAGACTTACCGGCTAGCCCCTGCTCTCCAAGCTGCAGAGCTGAACTCCTGGCCGCATGCATGCTGTGGCTGCGCACATGTACACGGCATTTATTGGCAACATTATTGGCCACAAAAGCTGATTGCCAATAATGTCAATTTTCCTTTTATCGGTGCTGATATGATGTGGTGCACCTCTAGTTTTTACCTGCTCCATCAATCCTCCCCAGACCAGGCAGCCCCCTCCAGATCTGCCAACTCCCTCAACAATCTACCAGCCTCTCCTTAAACTAAGCTGCCTAACCTTGAGCCGGGTCCTGGGAGTACCTCTTCTCATCCTTGATAATTAAATGTGAAGCTTATCTACAGCTTGTTAGCAATTATATCACAAAATAGTAAAGCCCAGCTATATTTAAAGATGCACTTTTTTTTATAAAGCTGAAATGCATCTGAACCAAAATCCTGAATCTAACTGCTCAAAAAAATTAAGGCTAAAATTTGAACAAGTTTCCAAATTTTTGTTATTAGGCTTTTCCTCTAAAATATGCCAGTCAAAACCCTAGTTCCAGGCATTCATGTTATAACAGGCTTTTGAAACATAGATTCAAATATTGTGGCACAAACCCATCTTTATTAAAACCAGGTTTTGGAGAAATTAACTTCATAAAGAAGCAGTTATGCATTACACAATATTAATTGTCTACTGTAGAAAATGCATCTTATAAACTAACTAAAAATAAGAGATTTATTTAGTAGGTCTATAAGGTGCAAATCTACCCTGTCTAACTTCAGACTAACCCAGCTTACTACCTCTCCATAGAAAAATATCTGTAACAAACAAGAAATACTACCCTCATCTATTGTTCCAGTTACAGTGTCTTATTTACAGGATAAGGCAGGGTAGATTTGCACCTCATAGACTAACCAAAAGTAGATATATATATCAAAAACTTTCATGAGCTAAAGCTCAGTTCATCAGATGCTGTGTAAAGTGTATCATGCACTCCTTGTTTGCATACTCTGCAAAGCTAGGCCTTCAATAGGAAATCTGCTCTACTAACAGGTTTGTTGCTTACTAAGTACAAATAAGGTTTATTCTGGAATCAGACATATTGACCCAAATTTATTTGTCTAGCTGTTCAGAGATTCATCATATTTAACTATCTGGATATATGGAAGCTTTCAGTCATTTATCAGGTTTGGTCCTGTAGCCCTGGTATTCATTTGAAATCGATTAATTATACTCAATAGTAATATGCAGAGGCTGTTCTACAGTTTCTGTTGGTTTTTTTCATGAGTATGTCTTGCATCAGTAGATCCAGGATTGTGGTTCAGGATTTTGCAGATAGAAAGTGTTGAATGATTTTAACGGGATTAATTAAGGACTGAAGTCCTTGGGTTCAAATCTGAATTTGGGGTAGCATGCAACTGCACATTCACACAGTAAATTACAGTTCCTCTGCTCTCCTATTCCTTTATTGATTAGGAGTGTGGTGAGCAGGTTCAGGATGGCAGCTATTTCCTTTTCTTCCTTCATCAGTGTTTGACTTTTTTTTTACCCCTGTGGACCTTGAGGGATGCATGGTGTTCTCCAGCATGGATCCCCTTTTTGGTCGGCAAAACATTATGAAAGAGTTCCAATTTTGAAAATGCATGTATTATTTTAGGTTTTCACTAGAAAGTTTGAATGAAAAACATAACTGTGTGATCTGTTTTTTCGGCTACCAGCGTATGATTGGTGATTTAAGTTATAGAAGATGTTTTGATTTTACTTGACTGGATTAATCTGGAGAATAAGTACAATTTTGGATGAAAACATTTTGAAATGTTAAACATTTACAGGTAAAATGCACTATACATTAATTAGCTAAATACCTGTGTACAATGAATTCTATCACGTTACGAATTGCAGCAATCTAAATTCAGTGCTTTCAATAGAAATATTCACAAATCCTGTGATTCAACTGTACATGGTTGCATGTGTGGTCTATTAAAAAACAAATCCATCCAGATCCTCTTAACTGCAGTGTACCAACTCAATGCATTGTATTATTATCCTCAGAGTGCCTATCATCACTATGAAAGTAGGGTGTCAAGGTGGCAAGAAAGGGATGTGTTAAATTATATTTCAAAATAAAAAATGAGGCAAGTTTTGGGGTAGTATGCTTGAAGCACATGAGATAATATGTGTTTCTGTGACTCCTGCCAATGTTGACAATATAATGAATTATGTGACTTTCTTGGCAAGAGACACACACGTGCGCACACACATATTTAATTAATGTAGTGTTTTTTACTTTGAAAGTTTGATACAAATATCCACTTTGAAAGAAGGAATAGTTTGATAATGTGTACACTCATTTGACTTTGGAGGATCTGATGCTCCATGTAATTTTTATTCTCTGAAACTAATGATAACCACATTTAATCATTCTTGTTATTTGTTGAGAGAGGTAGTTAGTCATGTTAGTCTGAAGTCAGGCAGAAGATGGGATAATTTGCATCTTTATAGATTAGCTAAAACAGATATGTATAGCATAAGCTATCATAAGCAGCAGGCTTAGTAGAGCTGTGTAGAAAGCAGAAATTTTGTTTCACAAAGCTTTAAGAGATTTCACGATTTGGTGTTCCAAATGGGAGTAAAAATCAAAACTTTACAAAAGTTCTGGAAGAAAATTTTGAAATGAATGGCATCAGGTTGATTGATTTCTTTTTCACTTTTGTCTTTTTATTTTATGTTAAGTTAAAATATATAATGCAAAATATACAATTTTGAAATGACAAGTTTATTTAAAAAGAAAAATAATTAAAATATTCAGTTTTGCAAAATATTTTGATTTTGATGGAAATGCATAGCCTGATGGAATATGCTTTATTGACACTTTCTCCAACCAGGTTGACTTTTGAATTCATGATTTCATTAGTTGACAAGAAATTACATGAGACATATTTTTAGACTTTTCCAATGATAGATATTTGTTGTGGAGAAAAGCTAAAGGTAAACAGGTTAGGATGATGTTCTAAGTTGTTCTGGATATTCTTTCTAAAAAATACTTCTATCTCCTACAAATGAGAAAAATGTCCCACTAAGATTTGGAGCTAGTTTATGTTTTTTGTTTTTTAATTTTATACAGGGAAACTGAATATAAAGGACTACAACTATCCTTGGATCAGGTTACAGCAACAAAGCCATCGTTCTCATATGCAAATTCAACTCCAACTATAACGGACAACAGAAAAGGAAGCAAATCACGCCTCTCAAACACAAAGTCAAAATCAAGGACATCACCATATCCACAGGTAGTTGTCTTTGAATGCCACAGTTGCTGTACAAATCACAGAAGTAAAAATCTTTTGATTCTTCAGCATCCAAATATTGATTCAGACTTCTAATTTTCAAAACCCATTTTTTGCAAATGGCCAGTCTGATTATTATTACTTAATAGTTTGATCACATACAATCTTCTGTGTTATTTACTAGCCTGTCCTCTTGAATGCTCTACTGAACAGCCTTAATAAAACTTGCTTTGAGTTTTGAGAAATTATGCATGTAAAATATTTCCAATAAGTTGTTCAAGCTATTTATCTTTGGGCTGCTGAAATTTTTTCCATTGTCTTTGTTCCATTTCTTTAATACTCACTGTTCACTAGTGTCCTACCTATGTAAAGACCTGCGATATACACATAATATTTCATTTTTATGCTTTTCACACAAAACCCATATCAGTACAGATTTTTTCTCTGTCACCAGACATTTTTTTTTTGCTAGACTTTGTTTTAGTAGTGGTTGTTGTCTGAAAGTTTATAATATTGAATTTCCAATTTAACTTTATATCCTTATCACCAGCTGCATGGTAGTAAAATCACAGATTTCATCATACATAAAGCAGCAGCAGTGCTGGTTGCCAGTCTCTTAAAAATGGTCATACTGTACTTTGCAGCACATCACCATCAGCACCACTGGCAGCTTGGCTCTGTTTCCTCATACCCTTCCAACCACTGAATAAACTGTTGAAAGAATAAGAGAAGCTGTTATAAAGAACTTGGAGCAGGTGCTATTGCCTGTGCTCATCAGTTTTCAGTCCACACATCTGCCACTCAGTTATGGAAAATTGCATAGTAATTCAAGGCTATGGCTAGAAAGTGAGGGTAAGGGATTTAGAGACTTTTTATTCATGGGGTGAGGGAGGGCAGGGGGGCATCGTGATCTCTTAGGGTTACTGAGATGTCTCTTGGCATTTGGATGGTACCTAAGTTTCTGCATTTTTTTTTTAATTGCCTCCTCACTTTTGGAAGAGTAAATGGAATCATGTGTTTTACTGGGTGATGACTGAGAATCCATTATTTGGCAAGCTGTATGCTACCAGAACTGCTACATGAGAAGTGAACTTCAAGAAAAATATGAGTAGTGAAGATCAGCTTCATGTTCATTAGAAAATGAAGAGGCAGTCGTTCTGGTCACTTAACACTATGTTAACATTTTTCTTTAGTATTGCATTATGATGAAGCATAGTTTAATAGGGTGTTTGCATTTTCAGCCAAAAAGTGACTTTGTTAAATTGTAGATGCTGGTCAACATTTGTTTGATTCCAGCTGACTTTAGCACAGCTGGTTTGTGAAAAAGGCAATATCTGTCCCAGGGCTGCCAAAATTGTGGTATAGCTCAATATTAATTATGTGACTGTGGGATTTGTTTCTGTCTGAACACATTGATCAGTGTTCTGCTAGTGATGTCTAATCACAGGGGTGGCTAGATTAAGTACAGGAAAGAGGATGGATAAAAGAAAGGAAGAAAACCTGTTGAGGTTGTGTAGAAACAGGAAAAACTAAAAGACTGAATTGGCTAAAGGATATCTCTATCCTTTTCTCATGATTATAACCCTGGTGGGGGCTCCCAAAATCTAGTCCTGGACCTCATTTATTTTGTATTCCAAAAAGCTAGCCCTGGACCTCATTTATTCTGTACACAGGAAATAGCAACAAAATTGGAAAAACATTTTAATTATGATCATCTGACCAACTGCTTTGGAGTTTAATCACCCATTAAAAATGATCATTTAAAGGAAAGGTTGAAAGTCCTTGCCTCTAATGGAAACATTTTATAGTCAGATTTTGATCAGCCTTTACTGCTTCATGTTTCATCCCTACTTTTGGTTAGGATGCATCTGTCTATCTACCTACAGATGAATAATTAAGAAGAGATAAATGAATAAGGCTGTTTGAGTTTTTTTACATGCTACACTATATTCTTATTTCTTACAGAAATTCCACTGTCCATTAATTATTACTGAATTGCCACTTTGTTGATATTAGTACTAAATTTTCCCTAGATAGAACCATAAGAATTCATTTTGCAGTTTATATTAGTTCTTTACTCTGGCAAGTTGTTTTAAAGAGAGGCATACGAATGATAGGATTAAGTTCAATTCTAGACAGTCTTTCTTTTATTTATCATTTTTTGCTGTAAACTAAAGTTTTGGTGATTTCCAAAATATTCCAAAAGCAACCTCCCCTCCCCTACCTTTTTTTACAGTAACTGTAACTCCTGATCTGATGAAGACTCACTAGCAGTAGGGGTTATTTTAATGGACATGTTGTATTACTTTAATCTAAGCCTTTCACCATCTGTTCTGCCTATAATAGTGAATGCTAAAAGAACATATTTTACATTTCAGGATTACATTAGTAAAAAGTAAGATAAAAGTGATTTAAAAGCATACATATGTTCTTAGTACAATGCAGCCCGCATCTGTGATGTTTTTTTCTTATGGTTAAGACACAAATCAAGAGGAAAGCTGCTAATGCCTAATGTAGTGAAAGTTTTTCATGGAAGAGAGGACTCTACTTCTCTGAGAGGATTTCACCAGATATTTACCAGTTTATAATGATAAAAACATGAGTTGTCTGCCAGAAAATTAGATAGTTGTAATATCTATTGTTGGAACATCTGGCATTGTGTGTGGAGCTGGCTGTTGTCATCTACAAAAGGGTGAGGCTGATGACACACCTGTGTACAGCATTAAGGAATGAAATGTCAGGTGTGTGTCTGATGGAGAAAGTGACCCCAAACCATTCTAGTGTGTAGTAGACTAATACATTTTTATGGTCTCTCTTATTTAGATAGCCATGGAGACAATTGATTTCTTCCTTCCGCTGCCCTTTCCCAAAATAAGACCCTTCTCAAAATGTTTGTAAAATAAAAACAGCAGCATAGACTTGAATAATACCCTTTTTTGGTCAAAGCTAATCCTCTCATCAGGCTGGTGCACTGAATTAGTGCTATGGAGGTGCCAGTTCAGTTCTTCAGAAAACAACTAAAGTACTAAATGTGGCCTGAGAGATATCATTGGGATTTAGTGTTGTTCCTTTTCTGCCAACAGTATTTGTAGCTTTGGAAGGTGGTTATTGATTTCAGGCATTGCCTCAGGCTAGATAAATCCTTCATCTTGTCCTAACTTTTATCTCTTAATTAGACTGGGCAAACCAATTTTTTAAAATATCACCTGACAACAGATATGAGGAAACAATGAGCAAAGCAGAACTTCCATTACTGTAGAAACAATTTATTTACAGGAAACAAAGATTTCACTGCTCCTGATTAGGCAGATTGTTCAAGAAACCTAGTTTAGTAGTCTTTAGCTTTTTACCATTGAAATAAGCAAGCCTAATGCTTTTTGGGGGGTTGGAGTTTCCAGTTCTGTTTCAGCAGAATTCAGAGCTGAGGCTTTGGCCATTTTTTTTTTTTAGTCCTTCTTCCCAGTGATGGCAGAGAAAGTTATACTTGCCCATATTCATGTTCCTCATGTGAGGACATCAGGATTATATTTCTGGAAGATGTAGGGGTAGGATGGCAGCAGTTGAGATAGTATGGCAATGTCAAATTGAGATTCAGTTGCTCAATGGGTAATAAATATATTTTTGGCCTGTGCCTCGGATCAGCTTGGGAGTTATGCAGTAATATCCAGGCTCTCAAGACAACGTGGGCCACAAGTAACTCTTTGTATTAATTTGCTTCTGTCCACAGACTAGCAGGTGCTATGGGTCAGTTCTCAGTTGATTATCTTTTACATTAAGAACAAACAACATGCATAAAGTATCACTGTTTTTTGTTACATGGTTATATGCTCATTGCATGGTAAATTTCTGTTACATGGAACATATACTCTTTGGAATGGTTTCCTATTCTGTAAGCCAAATGCGAGAGGCCTACTGAACTAAATCCTTTGTAATTTGGTCCAAGAGTATCAACTGTGGAAACTTTTGTAGTCATAAGAAGTTCCCAATAAAAGAAATCAAATGGACCCAAAATCAAGGACAGAAAATATTTCCATGCTAAGAGCAATGTAGTAGTTAAAGCTAGTAGAAAAATGCCAGTGAGAGCTAAGTGAAATTCAGAAGTTCCATCCTGTGGGGAATTCAATCATTTCAGCATTTTTGTTGTTGCAGCATGTGACAAAAGTTGAAATTTCCATTTGTTCCCTCTGAAATTAAAATTTTGAAAAAAATGTATTTGAAATGCTTCAATATTAAACATGCTCTTTACACTACATTGTCTCATGGGAATTATAGCTTTTATTCTTAATGCCTCTACTTCCCACAGAAAAGTTTTGTTTTGCAGAAACTGCATTACCCACTAGAAAATTACTCTGATGTAAGATTTCTGGCCAGCTTTAATACAAAATATGTTTTCATGGGAAATTAAAAATAATAATAAAATAGTGATTTTTGTGTGTGTGTGTGTGTGTTGGAACATTGACATGTCAAGTTGCTTTTGGTAAAAAGTTTCAGTTTCGGTAAATATATCCAACCTTTGGTAAATAATCCAGTTATTGAAAAATAAAATCTGAACTTAAAATAAATTGTGTTACTAAAAAAAATGTACTAATTTCATTTTTATTTCCAGCTTTCTATTGGAAAAAAAACTCCTATAATTTTTGGGCCAAAATGAAAGTTTCCCCAGAAAACTCTTATTTTGGTTTGAAAGCCTTTTCATTAATAAATTTTGATTTACAAAAAAATTAATCAGGACTAGTGAAAATGCCCTTGTTAAAGAAGTCTGAGGATGTCTGTATACTAAGTAACACAGTAGAAGAATTTGCATTCTAGTTTGTCACAGAGTACAGTGGCTAACTAAAATTTCCAGCTAATTGAAGTGTGGTTGTCAGTTAAATTAGCTTCACATAGTGGTGAATACAGAGCAAGGGCCTAGGTAGAGTTACTTGGGGGTACTGATCTCATATGATCTCATAGCCCACTTGGCTGTTCAGCACTGAGAATGAGGGGCTTGAACATCTTACTGTATATCTGTGGTGTGACAGGGCCTCCGTTTCTCTCATTGAGAAATGCAGAGCAGGGCATCTCGGATGTGACAGCAGCACTCAGTAGAAAGATGCTTCATCTTGTTTGGGTCTCATAGCCAGCAGTGTAGGGATGTGGCCAGGAGCCCAGGGCAAAGTGGAAGTGAGGACTTACTGCCACTGCGATTGTGAAGGTGCAGCTGCTGGCAGCAGCCCTTGTTTTTTGCAATCCTCACTCCCCCACCCCCATCCCACAAATTGGTGTCTGGGGTGATTGCCCCTATTTTCCCAGGCACTGATTACTACCATGGTAAAAATCAATAATTGTATTCAAATTGCCTTCTCCTGTGCCTGCTCTGTGCCTTCTGCCAAAGAGAAGGAATAGTGTCTCTGCATACAGGCTCTCTAACCTAATGAGGAGGGCTTTAAATTAGGTTCATTGGGGGATGGAGAAAAAAGCCCAGACATAAATAAAGACCCTGAATAAAAAATTACTAAGGGGAAATAATAATGGAATTCTTAGAAATGTTCTCAGGGAGAGGATAGGACAGTCAGTTAAATACCTGAAATGTTTATATACTAATGCAAGAAGTATGGGAAACTAAAAGGAAGAACTGGAGGTCCTAGTATAAGCACAGAATTATGATGCAACTGGGACTGCAGTATGGTCATGGATGAGTGTACTTTGTTCAAGAAGGATAGGCAGGGAAAAAGGAGGTGTTGCCATGCCATATATATAAATTCATTCTATATGTGTTCTGAGATACAGTATGAAGTGGAAGGCAGGCCTGTTGAAAGCCCCTGGGGAAACACCACATGGGAGAGCATCAGAGGAGAGGTCATGGTGGGTGTCTGTTTTGGGCCTCCAAACCAGGAGGAGGAGGTGGACAAGGTCTTCTTTTTTAAAGACCTGATAGAAGCTTCCAAATCACAGGAGTGTAATTATTGAGATATCTTCTGGAAAGTAAACAAAGTAGTGTACAAACAGTCCAGTAAAATATTGGAGTGTGTTGGGGATAACTTTCTGGTACAGATGGTAGAGAGGCTAACTAGGGGGAAGCTCTTCTTGACTTACTGCTCACAAATAGGGAGAATTTGGTTGGGAGTTTGAAGATAGAAAATAATTTGGGTGACAGTGACCATGAAATGATAAGAGTTCAAGAACCTAAAGAAAGGAAGGGAGGAAGGAGAGCAGCAGAATAAGGACACTGGTCTTCAGAAAAGCAGACTGACAAACTTGGGGAACTAGTGGGCCAGATCTCTTGGGAGACAAGCTGGGGTGGGGGCAAAGGGGTCCAGGAGAGCTGGCTGTACTTCAAGGAGGTTCCCGTAAGGGCACAATAGCAAGCTAAACTGGTATGACAGAAGAATGGGAAATCCAACAGGAGACCAGCCTGGTTAGACAGCCATCTCTTCAATGAGTTGAAATTCAAAAAAGATTCTAGAAAAAGTGGAAATTTTTTCATAGTACCAGGGAAGAGTACAAATATTACACAGGCATGCAGAGAGAAAATTAGCAAGACCAAGGCATGATTTGAGATGCAGCCTGCAAAGGATATAAAAGGAAATAAAAAGGAATTCTACAAGTGACAAAAGTAAGAGTAAGACCAGAGAAACCATAGGTTCCTTATGGACCAGGGCCTGGTATTGCTTAATCTCTTCATGAATGATTTGGGCAATGAGATCAAGTGCCCGCTTAGCAAATTTGTGGATGATATGAAGTTGGGTAGAGTTGAGTTTAATCCGAAGGTAGGACTAGGATCCAGAGTTACCTGGATAGATTAGTGAAGTGGTCTTCAATCAATCAGATGAGGTTCAAGAGAACAAAGGCAAAATCCTGCACTTGGGACAGAATAGTTGCATGCACAAAGATCAGTGAATGACTTGGCTAGGCTCCAGAATTGCAGGACCTGGGCATTACATCAGACCATAAATGGATTATGAGCCTACAATGTGCTCTTGTTGCAAAAAAGAGTCAACAGCATACTGGATTGTATTAAAAAGAGTTTTGCTTGCAAATCAAGTGATTTTTTTCTATTCTGTTCAGCATTGATGAGGCTTCAAACGGAGTACTGTATCCAGTTTTGGGCCTCACACTTCAAGAAGGTTGTGGACAGTATGGAAAGTGGTGGACAGAGGCCTGGAAAGTGTGATTTATGCAGAAAGGCTGAAAGAGAGAGGATTGTTTTGTCTTCTAAGGAGAAGATGGGGTGGGTGCGGGGGGAGGTTGATGACAGTCTTCAAATACCGGAAGGGTGATTACAGAAAGGATGGAGCTGGCTTTTCTCTGTGGCTGTAGGGGACAGGAAGAGAAGCAATGGCTTCAAACTGAAGCAGAGGAAAATTAGGTTGGAGACTAGGAGGAACTTTTTCACTATAAGGGTGGTCAAGCTTTGGAGAAGGTTACCTAGAGAAACTGGAAATTTTCAAGAGCGGGTTAGAGAGGTAATTGATTGGGTTGATTTAGTCAGGGTGATTCTTGTGTTGAGCAGAGGACTGGACTAGATGACCTTGTGAGGTCCCTTCCAGTCCTACTTTCCTATGATCCTGTGATGGGATAGATTTTTGCTGGATAGATTTTTAGACTGGCTGTTTAAAAGCTCTGTTGCTTTTTAACACCTTACCTCGCTCCAAAACCTTAATAGTGTCTGATATTTCTGAAGACTTCAGCATACATATGGCCATACTAGAATGTTAGCCATAGCTCCTTCCCACATGTGTATATATAGGTCTTTGCAATGTGACTACATGCAGTCACTGACATTTCCTACTTACGATACTTTCTGTTAATAAAAATCTCAAGCAATTTTACTACTGGAACTGTACAGATGGTTTAACTTTCTCTAAGTAAAACTAATAGTCAGTACTTTTGATGTACTCTTCTATATTCTTTGGCTAGTGTATAAAATATTGATTCTGGTTGCTATGAGGAGTTTCACAACAACCCAGATTCATGAAATGGAAAGTTTTGTCTTTGGTAAAAATTAGGCCTTTGCATTAAAATGAAAAGTTACTGGGCATTTTTATGGGGAATGAGAGGGTATGAGAATTCCAGATTCCTCTAAAAATATCAGTGTGTATATACTGATATTCAGTTATGGAGAAATTGTGCATACTTTTTGGGCTGTGTTCTGTTGCATGAGGGTGCTGTATACTATACTTCACCATCCTTCAATATTATTCCCAAATGTTTCAGTCCCTCTTGCTCTTATTAGATAGTCTTCTCCTTTAGTAAGCTGTCTTCAGTAGCTGATTTCCTTGCTCTCAAGGAACAAACAGTAAGCAGAAAGGCAAGTCCTTCTGATCTGCCACTTCAAAACTTGGCCACACCCTGGAGTTTTTCCTCATGGTGTTTTGAAACACCTGAGTGTCCAGGATATTTCTTTACTTACTGTAATAGGGAGAAAGGAAGATTTGAAGGTGTCTGATAAAACAGGCAGGTAAGGGAGATATAGGGAAGGCATTGTGGTCATGAACAACGATAATGAAAAGGATTTTGAACAAAATTCAGTTTTGTCTTTCAGATATTGGTATCATTTCAATCTTTTCTAGAACTGCTTTTGAGTGGAAGAATGGAGCTACAATACTGCACATGAGTTTCATTTTCAAAGTTATAAATAAAATATTTTCCTATTTAAATATATTGCATTAAATATGGATGTTGATGAGCTAGGTTTTACATATCTTAAATGATGGAATCGGGTGGCTTTTAAATGGGAGGAATGGGATTTAGATTTTCATGAGGTCTGCCCTGTCAGCTGTGAGAGTGCCTTTCATTTTGTATTGCAGTATTCTGGATTTCATACAGAAAGATCTGAATCTGACCATGAGAGCCAGTGGGGTGGAAGCCCACTCACTGATACTGCTTCTCCACAATTACTGGAACCTGCTGAGAGACCAAGCTCACAACACCATGATGTCTCCTGTGCCTATAGACAGTACTCGGACCGCAGCGCTCTCTGCTATGGCTTTGCACTTGACCATTCTAGGTTGACTGATGACAGACATTTCCATACTCAGGCCTGTGAAGGTGGCAGATGTGAAGCTGGTAGATATTTCCTGGGCACACCACAGCCTGGAAGAGAGACTTGGTGGGGTTCTCGTTCAGCACTGCCCCTGACCAAATCATCCCCTGAAAGCAGAGAAGCATATGAGAATAGCATGCCCCACATAACTTCAGTTCACAGGATTCATGGTAAGAAATAACAAGCAATTCTTGGGCACCGTAGCAAATCTAAAGCAATAGTTTCAAAGTCATGAAGCCATGTGGCCAGTTTGTGTGTGAGAGGTCTCCTGATCTGTGTGCTCGTGTCTGGGTCTGGGTGTACAAATTGTACAGTAGTACAGATCTGGGTTTGATAATCAGATCTATATAGTAAAATATGCCATTTGCTTCTAACTTTTTAGTTCTGAAATGAAGTTGGAAGCATATTGTATTATTACTCACATACCACATGCATCCTCTTCTCAAAAAATTGCCATCCCAAATCAGTGAAGTATCTTAAGGGAGGAGGCTGATTTTTAGACTGGAACAAAGGTATGGGCATGTAGGAATGGCTACTGGGGACGGTGCGTGGCTCTCAGCCACGTGGATCAGGGACAGGCCCACTCATCAGTGTTATTCACCCTACTCCTGCAGCTCGACAGCTAGAAGTTTAACCTTCTCACAGCTGCTGTGAAATTGGCAGTAGCTTTCGGCTGAGCAGCAAGGGGAGAGAGAAGTGATACTGATGAGTGGACTCTGCTCTATATGGCCAGTATTTAGCCATGATGAAGCTGTGCTATGGCAGGTAAGTCTATTTAGCCATGATGAAGCTGTGCTATGGCAGGGAAGTGGGGAAAAATCTTGCACAATGTATGCAAATAAATATGGTAGGTTAAATCTCAGCAAACATGTAAGAGGTGTACCTAATGTAAATAGTCTATTTCTGTGAGTGCACCAGTTTGCATAAGAACTAACCCCAATTTACACCTGGAACCAAACCTAGGATGGATAATGCTTGAAGTCTGGACAAGTTTTGGACAACCTTTTCTGCCCCACTCTGCAGTTAATGTCTTAGACTAGAAGCAACTATGCTGAGGAGAAAAAAACCTCAGCCAGAATGACTGTTCTCCAATAAATTCCAGCCAGACCAAGGACAAAAAGTGTTGTAAAATTAAAAAGAATCCCTGACTTTGTTTTTTGCAGATTTAATTGGGTTGGATAAAATTCACAAAGTTTGAATGAACAGCAAATAGACAGAATATAAAGTTGTTCTTCCAAACATTTTGAGGCTTGTCCAGTACAGCTTTCATATGAAGACTGGCTAACATGATGTTGTGAGATGCATGTAAGTGTAGACTGATTGGAATAGCCTGTTGTAGCAGTGATTGCATTTTTTGAGGAAGGAATTGGTCTGCAGTGCTAAGTATTATCTAAAGAATTTATGACATTTGAGGGCCCCAGTCCTAAGCAAGCTATAAGTTTGCCTACCTGCAGTTGTGCAACTGGGATGGAGGGGAAAGGGAGGAAGAGGCAAGTAGAATACCAGCCACAGGCACTGGCTAAAAGGGGGTACCAGAATCACACCCCCAGCTCCCCACCCCAGAAGTCCTTGCCACAGCAGGGGCAGCCCTGTGTTGCTTGGCCATAGGAACCAGGCAGGCTTAGTCCTGCCCCCAGTGGTGTATCTGTGGGGTGGGAGGCAAGTAGAGTGGATGGAATGGTGCTTCCTCGCAGGGAGCCTTTGCCAAAGCAGGCATAGCCCTGAACCCACTGCCATAGCAAAGGGGGGGGGGTAAGTGGGGCGACTGCACTGGGTGCTGAAGCGAAGGGGTGCCAATAGGTGCTGCCCAGCTGGGGTGGGGTGCAGGACAGAGCCACGAGTAACTCATTTGGGGTGTGGGGGGAGGCGTGCAGGGATAGGGGAAGGGAAGCTCCTGCTGCTGCATGCACTCCTGGGCATGCATGGGGGGGTAGTAAACTCCTGGATCTGTGTGGGGTGAGGGTGGGCTGCTGCTGCGGGGTTTGCCCTGGGCACCAAACTTCATTGCTACAGCACTGCAAGAACCCACTGGTGTATCTGAAGCAAATGGGGTCTTGAGGGCACCTCCCAGAGAGCTTACACCAAACAGCTGCTGCCACCTAAGCTGATGCTGCTGTAGTAGTAGCAGTAGCAAGGGGAAGATTTCCCTTCAGCTCAACCTCTAATCCCTCCCCCCTCCAAGACCACCTTCCCCAGCTACAGTGATGGGCATACCTTCCCCTGCCTACCCTGGATGCTGAAGGAGCTCCCTACACCTCTGCCTACTGCATTTGCTAATTGAATTGGCTCTCTAAATTTAGAACAAATTGGCATATTTCACTTGAATTAGAATAAAATTATTCCAAAATAGAGAGAAAAAATGAAATATCAAGTTCAAGGAAATGTGGTCTAAAAGATAGTGATGGAAGAAAGGAGGCCTTTAATTGAATTTGGTCAGTACTAATCTGCCGTTTTCTTTTTACCACAGTGTATTGCACTTTCCAGTATTCTGTTCCTTTACTCCATCATATGCAAGTGCCTGCAATTTTTTCTTCTGTAAAACAGAGTTGAGTAAAATATATTGATTTTTTAGTAATTCAAATATACTTTGTTTTTTATATATAATATAATATAATATAATATAATATGTATGTATGTGTATATAAAACAAAGTATATTTGAATTACTAAAAAGTCAATATATTTTACTCAACTGTTTTACAGAAGAAAAATATATAACGTTATAAGATATGTGTGTATGTATATGTGTGTGTGTGTGTATATATACACAATGTGTCTGTATATATGTGTGTGTGTACACACACACACACACACACACACACATATATATATATAACCTGTTATATAATATATAATGTTATTCATATATAGGTACATGGTATACACCAGGTTATTGTAATTATAATCATATTATAATTGTTGGTGATCATACTAAGTCTTATGTAGAAATATTTATGTATACACTATTGTTCTTAATGTGGGGATAAAATGTGTATTTTATGTGTATTTTATCAAAGACAACCAATGAAAACTAATAATAGAGTTTGATTTTGGTTTCTTTGCTAGTTCAACTTTTATTACAGCTGCTGTAGTTAAATTCTTCATTGTATGGAGCTCCACAGATATATTACAATGGGTCTTCTGCTTGTATGTAGTTCTGGGGGCAGAATCAGACTTGTTAGTCACTCTGCAGAAGGGAATGCCCCACTTTCCGAAAATCTTCCACGCCTTTCTGCTTCCACAGTTGGAGCTCAGTAGATCTGAGCTACACTGGTGCAGACCATTGCTTGTTCTCAAAACAATCTCTATTTGGTTGATTAGACCTGAATGTAGCTTCCAGAGCTACTTCTTTGTGTAGGAAATGCCCACTATTCCTTCTCTCTGGGCACATCTACATGAGATACTGACTGCAGTAGCCAAAAAATACCGCACAGTGGCATGTCACAACATGGACAGTGCTAATACAATACTGCGCAGTATGATTAGGTAACTGTGCAGTAGTTAGCCCAGCGCTAACCACGAGTACCCCGATGTGTAGTAACTCCAGTTACTGCACATTTATTTAGTACTTGCTAATGCACATAATAAAGTGCTAATACAAGTACTTACTAATACAAGTACTAATGCACAGTAGCATCTTGTGTAGATGTGCCGTTTGAAATGTAATTTATTGGCTACATCTTCTTGTCACCCATGTGCAAAGAAATAACAGAAGACAAAACCAGGAGGAGGGAAAGGCAAAATTAGTATGCTCCTTACTCCTCATTGAACTTTTCAATCGGAACCTTCCTGCCCCTCAACATGAAAGCATCCATTAGGGTCCTTGTGCTAGAGACATTTCACTTATCAGGCATGTAAGTGGACTCTAGGTGCGTAAGGAGTATGGACAACATGCACTTGGTGTGGCTTCAAAAGGAAAGGAGAGCTGCTTCTTGGGAACACACAGCAACTGTTAGGTATCCATAGTGACACAACTGAACTAAATCATGCCAACATGACCCCGGATGAACAAGGTTAAAATTGGAGCAGTTTTGCTACATTTGTATTGCAAGTTTCATGCACAAGTAACAGTTAAAGCATGCAACTGCCATGATCCTGAGCAGTGGTTCCCTGTCCCCTTTTGAACTGCTCTAAGCTTGTGTTTGGCCCTGCCATATGTGTGATTCGTTCTATTCCATTCTATTCTATTCTGATCAAGTCACTGAAAAATAATTAAAAAGTGGATACATCCTCCTTCAACTCCTCACTGCTTTTTTTTGTGATTTAGTCCTAAGGATAAGATGATAGCATGTTACAAAAGTAGATACATTCATGGATTTTCAGGGGCTTGAACAGGGTAGAACAGAATCATAATGTAGGTACCTAAGTCCACTTAGACATCTAATAGATGGAATGGAATCTAGCCCACAGCAAGTGGCGACTCCTCATGTTTCACCTTGCAGACAAGGTTTAGAAGACCAGAGTATTAAGGGATGCAGAGAGAAGTTCCCCTGAACCACCTGAGTCTGTATTAACAAGTACCACTGTTGAGTGCTGAGCATTTGTTTCATTTTTTTCATCACCTCAGAAAAGAGCACAAAATATTTCCCAGAAGGATCTAAACTGGAATCATATATCTGTCTCCGTTAAGCCCTGCAGGATGTCAATTAAGAAGAATGAGTCTCAAAGCCAAGAAAGATTAAACAAATAGGACCAAAGGTCTAAATCAAAATGGTTGTTTCCTCACAAAGTGAACTCATTTTTTTTTTTTTATTTTCAAGGACACAGTGAAACATGGATTCCAATGCTTCCTTTGGGATATTATGCACAGTACTACAAAAAGAATAGTTCTAGTGGTGGAACAACAGACAAGAAGGAACAATGTCTATCTTCCTTAGAGTCTAATATAGATGAAGCATGAGATTGGATACCTCTAGTACAGTTCAGATTTTAGAAAAGGATAAGTCGGTGATGTGAGACAGTGCCTCAGAATGTCCCATTATGCATCTGGGAGTGGAGCTGGGGTGATGTTCTTGTAGTAGCAGGGCAAAGCACAAACAGGCATACAGGAAGTCAGCAGTTCTATAGAGGCTATAGAATAATCATTCATGTTTCTTAGAGATGCACTGCAGTGGACCTTGGCACCTACATGAAGCTCCTCCAGAATTGTCTTCAGTTTCTACCACCTTACTATCCCACCGTCAGTGAAAATAATTTCCTAGTTCATGAATCTGACAAAAAAGCCATGATGATGCCATCTTGGATATACAGGGTGTTTATTTGGGATCCCAAAGAAATCAGGAAGTTGATTCTGGGACAAGATACAGAGCTTAGACCATTTTTTAAATGTACTTTAACCAATTTTTCCCTTTACAAACATGGACATATATTGACCATGAAAGACAATACATTCACCAAGACCTTTCTGAACCAGCCAGTAGGAATAAGGGAGAAGCGAAGCTGCTTTTGTCAAGGGCAGACTCTTTGTGTGATTGAGCACCCTCTTGTGCAACCCTCTTAAAGATTAACAGTTACACAAATAATCATTTCCAGATTCTGACGCCCTTATTCATTTTGAATTGGTCCTGTTTCTATGAGTGTCCCTCTGGAGTAAGCTGGACTCTTTGTGAAGTAACAAGCTATTCAGTATGAGCAAAAGTAATCTGGTTTATAGTCTCTTTTTATCTCAGATCCTTATCCGCAAAATGCTAAAATCTTTGGGAAAGGACTACCTTATATTTCATATTTGTACAGTGGCCAACAAAATGGAGGGCTAATCATGACTGGGGCCCATAGGAGCTACTGCATAAATAAATAACTCTGTGTCTCTGAAATGTACACTAAGAATAAATACATATTTGTGTGGTGCTCAGATACTATGCAACTGCTATAGAGTTACTGATGTTGCCATCAGCAGAAAGTACTCTACAGTAGAGCACTTCAGATATACACAGCAATCCAGAGTCCAGATGTATAGCATGTATATAGAATTTGCCTATAGTCATTAATTTTATCACCTGTTCTGGAAACACTCTGGTGATAATATCATAGAGTACATCTCTGTGTACAGTTAATGTGATGGAATATACTCTAGCACAATTTGAGCCAGAGTAAACTAATTTAATGTCACTGTCTACATGTACATTTAAGAGCAGTAATTTACCGCGCTGCTGGATACCACTTATGTCTTACAGGACTGTCTGGCAGCACAGTAAATTAGTCTACTGTATCCTAGTTGCCATGCACATGTAGATAGTGACTCTTTACTGCACAGCAAATTAGTCTGCTATGCTGTAAAGTATCTTGTGTAGTCATGCCCATACTGCTACAAGTATGTGGACGTTAATGCAATGAAGAATACAAAAATGTACACATTTACCACATTTTCTTTCTTCACGTAACAATATCCGCCAAACCTCCCCTTCCCACTAGACAATATCTTTTGTGTGGGCTGTGGCAAAATGGCATTCAGTAACTTGTAAAAAAAGCTGTCTCATATTTTGTCATAGGCATGAATATTAGCAAGATTTTATGAAGTCCATAACTGCATTGTCTCCTTATAGTTGAAATATTTTTCAACTGTTAGGCTCTTCAGGGATAGGGTTACTCTCCTTTTACAAGTGACTCATGGGTCTGGTTCTGTCTCAGCTGCATGTGAGCTGAACACCTCCTCTTACAGATCTGTGGGCCTTATTACCAAAAGACAGGTAATTTCAGGTTAGCATGGTTGAAATTTTCTATTTTAGAGATTTTGGACAGCAGATATTTATGCACATACAAAACTCATTTCCCTATAGTTGCCAGTCAGTGAACATGAAGGCATATTTTGTTCCATTTCTTATTGACAGAAAACATGTATATGTGATGACAAGGCTACAAAATCTAGTCTCTTGATTTATTATATACTTGTCTTATTAACCTCTTCTGACCTTTAAGATATAAGGAATTATCTAATAACCTATACTTCTGACACTTTATGGGCCTGATGTTCAGCTAATCACCATTTGACTCTGTTTTTATGGGCACAAAAAGTACCTAGCTATCTAAGTGCTTCCAACCATGCTTATAATTTGTTTTAGGTGCAAAATCACATGCCCAAATTATTGATTTGGGCCAATTACTGACCATCACTGATTATCTGTAGCTCTGACACAATCTTTTGTGATCTTGGGCACTTATGCCTAAATCCTATTTCACCATTATATGCCTAAGTGGCATTTACATAGCCATGTAATTGCAATTTTTGGCACTTAAACAGTTTAGATTCTATTTCCATCTGTGGCAGAATAGGATCTCTCTACATGCATACCATGTGGAAGCAAAATAGAGGAGGAGGGCAGCTCTCCACCTTTTTGTGACTAGGGCACTAACCCAGGGAGTGGGAAACCAGAAGCTGATTGATGCCAGAGGAGGAAGAGGGTACCAGTGGCTTAACTAAAATGGGGTGACTGAAGCAGGAGACCTGGTCACCTACTTGGCAGGGAGTTGAAAAAATAAGAGCCATCCCTACAACTACATTAGCAACTGGAAGATGCCATTGCTTCTGTGAATTTCTGCTTTTCCAAACATTCAGCTGCACTATAATGCTTCTGAGGATAGCCCCATCTTCTAACTCCTCTCATCCAAAGAAGGGTGGAACCTGCATGTACCACTTCCCATTATAGAAGTACTGTAACCACCAGGCCTTAACTCTAGACACTGCCCAGAGCATTGTTCTCTTGAAGCTGACCCATGGCACCTCGAATTTAGGAAAATGAATAAGCAAGTGGGAATAATTTCTGCCTCAGCCCTGGACTCTCTTTTTTTTCCAGGGCAGCATCCATCTCACTGAGTTATCCTTCTACTTTGCTCTCCAGCTCCTTGCCCAACATATCTTCCTCTATTGATTGACTATTGGGCCAGTTTCAAAGGAAACCATACCCTGATGGTTACAGTACTTTTTCATGGTGAGGGAGCCCAGGCCCCATGCTCCCTGGAGAAGTATGTCTAAGCTATTGAATTTGGAGGTGAATCCAAAAGGGATTTGGAGGTGAAAGGGTGAAAAGGGATCCTCTTCCTCCAATGTCAAATATCTTCTATTAGTATTGTCCCTGCAACTAAAATTTTAAGATTACCTGGTATTGTGAATGTGCCTGGGTGATTCTGTTGTGCCTGGTACTTATGCAACACTCAGCCTACTGAGATACATGCTCAGAAGGGAAATGCAAGGTGAGCACAGCTACAGGGAATCTATACTGTGCACAGGGACAAAAAAATGCAGTCATGTAGTTACTGACTGCTACTTAGGCATGTAAAAATTAAATAAAATTTAGCCCTAATCTCTGCCTCAGTTCTCCACGTGTATCATGAACATACTTCTTTTGTTTTCAGTGTTTAAGCATTCATGGTCAGAGACTGACTTTAGTTTGGCTTCCAGTTGCTCTTGTATATAAATATTAACTCAACCTACTACCAATACAGTCAGTCATTACATGCTATCATGGTTGTTTACTTTCCTTTGAGACAAACTGTGTACAAACCAAACCTGACTACTTGTCCCCTTTATCTGTTTTCTAGGGAGAGGACACTGGGATGAGGATAGTGTTGTTAGTTCACCTGATCCAGGCTCTGCTAGTGAATCAGGAGACCGATATCGTCCTGAACAGTATCAGAATAGCCCACATGAGCCCAGCAAAATTGAAACTCTAATAAGAGCTACTCAGCAAATGATTAAGGAGGAAGAAAACAGGCTACAGCTACGGAAAACAACTCCTGATCCATTGGTCTCTCTTAACGGAGCAGGGAAAAAACACTCCCTTTGCTTTGCTAACTACCAGCAGCAGCAGTTGACAGGCGATGTCTGTCATGTTCCTACAGTTGCCAACACCTCTCCATGTGAACACATTCAACAACGAGACGGGAAGATTATGAGCCCACATGAAAATGACTACGACAACAGTCCTACGACACTGTCTAGAATAAGCAGCCCAAATTCTGACCGAATTTCAAAGTCCAGTTTGATACTAGCTAAAGACTATCTGCATTCAGACATGTCCCCACATCAAACCACAGGAGACCATCCAGCAGCTTCTCCAACCTATTACAGCCCACACAGGCAGTACTTTGATAAGCATGCTTATACGTTAACTGGATATGCTCTTGAACATCTATATGACAGTGAAACTATTAGAAACTATTCCTTGGGCTGTAATGGATCACACTTTGATGTGACTTCTCATTTAAGGATGCAGCAAGATCCAGCACAGGGACACAAGGGGACCTCTGTTATAATAACCAATGGAAGCTGACATTTTTTTCTAATATATTTTGTTCTTTAAAAAACAAAACAAAACAAAAAACCCCCTTTGAAATGTAATTGGAAGATATATATGTTTTAAGGCCCTGGTTACCAGCATTTGATATACCACAATGCACTAGAGAAAATACCTAAAGTACTGGGGAAAAGTTAGTAGATGTGTTCATTTAAAAATAATGCACTGGCATTAGGGTTATAGTGAATACAACTAAATACAATGTGGCTGTCATATTATATAGAAAAGCTGGGAAAGGCTTGGGCTGGGCTGGCTAAGCAGACTTTTGGTAGACCAGTTGAGCAGTTTATGCACCCTGGGCTCATCTGGACAAGATGCTTTACTGTACAGCAGATTAATTTGCTGCACAGTAAAGCATCACCGTCTACATGTACATGTGAGTGGCAGTTAGGGTGCAGTAGACTAACTTACTGTGCTGCCAGATTGTCCCATCAGATACAAGTGGTATCTGGTAGCACAGTATTTTACTGAGCTTAAATGCACATGTAGACAGTGACATAGGGATTAGTTTACTCTGGTTCAATTTGAGATGCAGTATATTTCAGTTGTATAAATTGCACATGTAAACGCACCCACTGACTAATTTAATACATACTAAAGCATCAGCGTCTACATGTGCACAGCACTTACCATGTGGTATTTTTGTCTAATGTGCTGTTTTCTAGTACCTGTACATACAGATACTAGAAATTAGTGCATTAAACTGATGCACCGAAGCACACATGTAGATGCTGACTGGAAGCAAATTGCTCTCAGTCAGCCTAGGCAGCAGGGGGCCACAGGAGATGGAGAGAGCTGTCCTGGCTCAGCAGGATGCTGCCTCTCAGTTGCTTGGAGTTTGGGACCTGTCTTCATCTCAGTGTGACTGGGAGAGCTGTCCCAGCTGCTGGGCAGCTGCCTCCAGGCCACATGGAGATTGGGACGGGATGGGTACTGGGGGTAAGTTAGTAGACACATCTCAATCCCATCAGATGGGATGGATACTGATCACCAGGAATCCTGGTTTTCTCCCATTAAAAAAAATCCCTAATTTTTGGTTTAAAAAAGTAACCCAAAATACACATTTTTCCATGCTTAAAACGAAACACGACTAATATATATATATAGGTGAGAATTGGGGATTTTTTTATCAGAGAAAACTAGGATCCTGGCTGACTACCACATAGCTGGGAAGCAGTTGCCTGGCAACTGGTATGGCTCTCCCCTGCCCTGCAGAATCAGGATCAGCCCTGTATACCCTCTGCCAGCATGGGGTTGATGCCTGAGGAAGCCAGGCAGTTTAGGGCTGCTCCTGCCCTGCTCTGCCCACCTGCAGCAGCAGCAGGTGGGAAGAG